TTGAAAGTGTTGCACTTTTTTGGAGGGTTTTTGGAGAGGCTCAGAGCCCACAGGGAAGTTATGTCAAGCGTGAAAATTTTAGGTTGACCAGCAACTTTTTTTTATCCGGGAATTTTCATTTGTTGGGTGTTTGGAGTCTTATGTGGAGACGTTGGGCAGGTGAATTAGGATTCAAAACTTTCGAGTTATAATTGCATTACTGAATATAGACGGATTGAACGTGTCTTATGAGTTTCGATATGAGATTCATACCATGCGGGAAATGTCTCCCAAACTAGCAACTGCACTGAATTTGTCTGTCACAAATCAGTGAGATATGCAAAAAATAAGGCAAACCCATCAACTTCCCTACCGCGTCCGTAGCTCGTTTGGTCAGGCAACTACTACCAAAACTTTACAGTGTAAGTGTTTGAACCAAAACGTTGGGTGCTTATATTAGTCTGAAACTTCCTCAGATAAATTTTTTCCAAGTTTGGATCAGGAGAAACCGATGTAAAGCGTCTTCAAGTTCCAGACATTGCATTCTGGCTTGGCATTACCCTACGTTCTTGATGAAAGCTGGTCACTAAATAAAAAAGTAGGCGTGACTTCTATAACAACAGATATCGAAAAATATCCAATCATTTCTATACAAATCACTTTCTGGTCACTTTTCCAGCCCTGGATGGAAAACATTTGAGTAGAACTTCTTGATAATGTTCTGTGGAACTTGAAGACACTACAACTCGGTTCAACGTGCATCACTTGAAAAATGTTTGGGTAGTTTTAAACCACTTTTTGAACTTCATTAAATTTCCGAGTTATTTGGGTTAAAAACGTCTCTTCGTTGTGAATTTTCAATATTTATCAAAAAAGATTTCTTTAGACCAACTAACGCTTTTTTTCGAATTCTAGCGACAATAACCAAGTCAGGGTTACCTAAACTAGCTCAACAACATATGTTGAGAGTCAAATGAGAAGTCATGAATCTGACATAAAAGAGCAAGCAGGGAGGTTTAGTGCTTGCCGGAAACATTTTGAGTTCCCATGGAGACCACCTCTTCAATAGACGACAAGAAGGAATAATTCACCACTTCCGACAAGTCAAGACACACAAAGACCGCCCATAGCTATCATATTTTTATAGCGCGGTGCCAGGAGAATATTGTTTTTCATTTAATTAACGAGTGTCTTTGACAGCTTTTTAATGAAAACAAGAGAAAATGAAAAATATTTTTCCTGGAGAAATTAGTCGAGACAAACTACAAACCTCAACCTCCTTCTCCACAGAATAATAACGTTTTCGTTTCAAGAAGAAAAGGAGTAAAATGCCGTTACCCACTTGAAACTCCCCCCTCTCTCATGGTCGTCGAAACTGGTTTACCCCTTTTTTCGGAAATGGCAATTAAGATTTACGACGATTAGACTAAAAACCTTGAAATGCGAATTGATTGGTATCTGTTTTTGGAAATGGCGTTCTTTGAAAAGGAAAAACAGAATTGGCGCTGTAGCTGAATCAGAACTGTCCCGAATCAGAATTTTTCCAAATAAGACATCTCAAAAGTGGGCGGAGCGATTGCCCCTTGAACACCGGATTCCCTTCTAAAGGAACAGATCCCCGGAGCAATGGAAATTCAACACTTGGCATCAAGGCCCAGCGACAAATTTCTCCAAACCATTTTTTTTTTTAAAATCAGCATCTTTTCTGGTTTTTGTCGAGGGATATTTGCCTAGGTGTGGTTGAGGTGGCCGACAGAATCCAATTCTCATAATCATTTTTTTTTAAAAATGGCAGAACAGTACTACCACAATTTGCTCCACATGTCACCCAAAAGCTCAAAAGCTATATTACAATGAAGAACAATTCGATGCCAACTTCTCCCGGA